TCTTGAAAAGCTGCTCTTCAAAAGAATGAATGCTGCTGGACCTCTCCATAAACTGAAGGGGAAGGTCTCAGATTTTTTTTTCCCCTTCTCTCCCATTGGTTCTCTCTGGAATGAGCGAGTCCGATCATTCCCTTGTAGAGTGGTGAATGGGACTTTCTTTGCATCAGCTTTTGGTCTTGAAGTTCTCAAGGGATGAGCTGTTTTTGAACAAAGAGCATTCTTGTCAGCATCACTGAGCTGCCTCTGTTTCCTAGAACAGGCCCTAGGAAAGAGGGGTGATGATCCTTGCTTATCCACATGGTGATTCCATTTCCTTTTCTTCTTGGTTGGGTGATTCAACCTGTATTCAAAGACTGCAGATTAATTGCAATGCTGACAAAATCTTAAAGAAACTGCTGACTTCACTAGATCATGCAACTTGTTTATTATTACTTCACCAAACTGTTCAGGCATGTACAGGATGAAGACGGTGACATAGTAGCCATATGGGACCAGAATTCTTTTTCATTTCATTGGATATTTCTTTTGTTGTGCTGAGACACAAATGATTCTGTGAATTTGGACCCATGATTCAAGTTGGGTACCTAGGATTGAGGAACATAAAATTAGTTGGCCTCCTGTGAAAATTTTGATTTGGGTGACTTGATTAATATTGCATAGGACCTTTGACAGATGGGACCAATTCAGAAAAACTAATTCTGCAGGGCAGTATTCATCATGACAGATTTTTTTCTTCTTTTAGTTTCCTGTTTTCTTTTACCTGGCATGTTTATGTGGGAAATACTAGTCAATATGTTTAACTTGACCAAAAATACCTAGTTAATATGAAGGCTATTTCTAGTGACTTATATTAATGTGTTGTTAAAATGAAACGATTGTAAAATGGTGGATTAATGGTAAAACTATGCATATACTAAGCTTGAAACCCTCTTTACCTATTTGAAATTTTGCCTAGGCTTTGGACAGTTGGAAAAGTGGAAGTATTGACTTTTCCTGGCAAAAAGAGGAAAGCAAGAGAGTTGGAGTCTTTACGTTTATCATCTCTGGGCTCAGAGAGTAAAATCAGAGGGAAGTTTGGCTTTTCTGTAATAATCAAGTCTTCTAGTCAAATCATATTGTTAGTTATACACTTGAAAATCTAATAGCAGGTTGCCAAGGTATACTTTTGTGTTTTGATGATTTTCATGAAGGAGTAAAATGCAGCTGTTGGTTTCTTAAACCTTACCTAAACATGGAAACTGTGCAATTTTAAAATTGGAATTGGTTTTAAGTCTATGTAAGTAAATGGATATTAAGCTTGATATATATTTATTATTTAAGTATGGGCATGCATGGTTTATTTATATTTAAATTAAAAATTTGGCTAATTGATTATAAGCAAATCCCCAAAATAACCTGGTTTACACTGAATTTAGTTTTTATATGTAGCCTCTCCACTAGTTTAGTTAACCTAGCTTAAAATTATATCGTCAAATGCATGCAACATTCATTGTTTTGGCTGTGCTGTGCCAAATGGAGTGAAGTGAAATAAAGAGTTTAAAAAATCTAAGCAGATATATTATACGCGATAGAGAAGACATGTTTTGAATAAGCCAGTGCCATTTTAGATGGCTCCTTTGCAGGGCATATATATGCTTTGACTCAGTATGATAAATGTGTTACTTGAACTAGCTTGTTAGGTGTACATTTGGTTGAAATGGCTTGGGTACAGGGATGTGTCCTATATCTTTTTTCAAAGCTTGCATTTAAATCGGTTTTGGGGTGTAGGTGGGGAGCATACAATTCCATAGGTATGGGCACATTACCAAGAACACGCTGCCTGTCTCTTGGGGGCTTCACCTTTGAAATATTGCATTCATTGTGGTGGGCCAGAGAGGAACTTATGTCACCTAGACATAAAGGGTGCATCTACTTGTGTGCTTTACTACAGAGTAAATAGCTCTCCAGTAAAACATCACCATCTACATGTGCACTGGTAGTAGGGCACAGTAAATTAATTAACTCCACTGTATAGAATCATAGAAACAGAGACAATTAGGCTTGGAAGGGACCACAGAAGGTCCCTTAGTCCAACCCCTGCTCAACGCAAGACTAGCCCCAACTAGATCCCCCTAGCCAAGGCTTTGTCTAACTAGGTCTTAACCTGTGAGGATAAGAGCCCACAACCTCTCTGGGTAACCTGTTACAGTGCTTTATTACCCTCCTAGTGAGAGAGTTCTTCCTAATATCTAACCTAAACTTCCCCTGCTGCAACTTGAGACTGTGCTCCTTGTTTTGGAATTTGCCACCACTGAGAACAGCCTAGCTCCATTCTCTTTTGAATGACACTTCTGGTAGTTGAAGGCTGCTGTTAAATCCTCTCTGTCTTCTCTTCTCTAGACTAAATAAGCCCAGTTCCCTCAGCCTCTCCTCAGAGGTCATGTGCCCCAGCCCCCTCACCATTTTCATTGCCCTCTGCTGGACTCTCTCCAATTTGTCCACATCCTTTCTGGGGGGGGCGCAAAACTGTACACAATACTCTATAGATGTGACTTCACCAGTGCTGAATAGAGGGGAATAATCACTTCCCTTGATCTGCTGGCAACATTCCTACCAATGTGGTCCATTATGCTGTTAGCCTTCCTTGCAACAAGGGCATCCTGTTGGCTCATATACAGCTTATTGTCCACTGTAACCCGCAGGTCTTTTTCTACAGAGCTGCTGCACAGCCAGTCAGCCCCCATCCTGTGCCAGTGTATGGGATTGTTCTGTCCTAAGTGCAGGACTTTGCACTTGTCCTTCTTGAATCGCATGGGATTTCTTTTGGTCCAATCCTCCAATTTGTCTAGGTCTTTCTGAATCCTAGTCCTACCCTCCAGCATATCTATAATTGCCCTCAGGTTGGTGTCATCTGCAAACTTGCTGAGGGTGCACTTTATGCCATCTTCCAAGTCATTGATGAAGATATTGAACAAAACTGGCTCCAGGACCGACCCTGGGGCACTCCACTTGATACCAACTGCCAACTAGACATCGAGCCATTGATTGCTACACTCTGAGCCTGATGATCCTGCTGGTTTTCTATCCATTTTACAGTTCATTCATCCAGCCCGTATTTCCTTAGTTTGCCTGCAAGAATGTTGTGGGAGACCATATCAAAAGCCTTGCTAAAATCAAGTTATACCACATCTACTGCCTCCCTGCATCCACAGAGCCAGTCATCTTGTCATAGAAGGCAAACAGGTTGGTCAGGCATGACTTGCCCCTGGTGAATCTATGCTGACTGTTCCTAATCATCTTTTCCTTCAAGTTCTTAGAAATGGATTCCTTAAGGATCTGCTCCATGATTTTTCCAGGGACTGAGATGAGGCTGACTGGTCTCTTGTTTCCTGTATCCTCCTTCCCTTTCTTAAGTATGGGCACTATATTTGTCCTTTTCCATTGAGCCATTGACCTCTCCCAATTATCATGGGTTTTCAAAGAGGATGGGCAGTGGCTCTGCAATCACATCAGCCAACTCCCTCAGCACCCTCAGGTGCATCCCGTCCAGTCCCATGAACTTGTGTATGCCTAGCTTTTCTAAATAGTCCCTAACCTGTTCTTTTGTCACTGAGGGCTGCTCACCTCCTTCCCAAACTGTGGTGCCAGGTGCAGTACTCTGGAAGCTGACCTTGCCTGTGAAGACTGAGGTGAAGAAGTATTTCAGCCTTTTTTGCATCCTCTATCACTAGGTTGACTCCCTCATTAAGTAAAGGACTCACACTTTTCCTGATCTTCCTCTTCATACTAACAGACTTGTAGAAACCCTTCTTGTTACCCTTCACATGGTGGCTGCTAGCTGCAATTCCAATTGCATTTTGACCTTCCTGACTTCATCCCTGCATGCCCAAGCAATACTCTTATACTCCTCCCTAGTTGTTTGTCCAAGTTTCCACCTATTATAAGTATCCTTTTTGCAATTTTACTGAAGAGCTCCCTGCTAAGCCAAGCTGATCTTCTGCCACACTTGCTAGTCTTCCTGCACATCAGGATAGCTTATTTCTGCACTCTCAGTAAGGCTTCTTTAAAGTGCAGCCAGCTCTCCTGGACACCTCTCCCCCTCAGACTGGCTTCCCAGGGGATCCTGCTCATGAGTTCCATGTGTCAGTTGCTATCTGCTTTTCTGAAACAGATGATCTACATGATCTTTTATGTATATTTGATTTTTGTGTATTTTTATATAATCTATTTTTAAATTTGAGACAATTTAAATATTTTCCTGTCTGTTTTGCAGCAGTGAATTGTGGTATGTGTTGTTGCCTCTTTTGCTTAAGATATTGCCTTAATAATTCTTTTTAAATTTATAAAGATGCACATTTTTCCATACTGGCAATTAAAACTATTAATCATGTCTAAGAATAATATCTGTTATTACTGTAATTAATAACTGCTTTCCCCAGTGATTTTTCAGCCAAGGTGGTGCGGCACCATGGGGCTTTGTGAGATCTTTTTAAGGGTGCCACAGGATGTACACTATTAGCACAGGTTAGGTGTACAAATACATACACGTGATTCATAAGAGAAACCCAGAGATTTTTTATTAGTAATCCATAGTGTCAAAAAATATTCTGACCTGCTGTGGTCCTTCTGATTTCTTTACAACAGAAGAATTGCTCTATTATTTTTTTTCTTGGTCAAGAAAAGAATGAAAAATAAGAGCTGGCATTTTCTGAATGGTGCCTTGAGTGTAACGAGGAGTGACTTGGGTTTAAAAAGGTTGAGAACCACTTGCTTAAATTAATATACATTACTATAAATGAAGTTTCATCAGGTTGTTTTGTTAATAGTAGCGAAAAATACTATTAATAAGCAACTTGATATTAATAATAGTGTTGCTACTTTAAAGGTTATCTTACTGCAAATGATTCGTATTTCAAGTTTGGAGAATAATAGACTTAACCTGCTATAATCAAAAGCTTGTGTCTAGGAGGACCCTAAAAATTTTCTGAGTTTTGTATTTTAATTGCTATGTTTTATTTCAGATTGGACAACTTGCTTTTAAAGGCATGAAAAGATTAAACCGAATCCAGTCAATAGTTTTTGAGACTGCCTACAACACAAATGAGAACATGCTGATTTGTGCACCCACAGGAGCTGGGAAGACTAACATTGCCATGCTAACAGTCTTGCACGAAATTCGCCAGCACATTCAGCATGGAGTTATAAAAAAGGATGAGTTTAAGGTAGGAATTTAATGAACCAAAGAACAGCTTTTAACTTGTAAGATAAAACCCATTATATAGTTATTCACATTATATGAAATCAAGAAGTTTTCAAGGGCATTATACTTCTCCAAGTAACATAGAGAATGCTGGTTGATTTACTTCATTACTATTAAAGCAGCTCCTATTTGTGTTCCAAAAATCTTATTATCCGTGTGAAAAGCTATGAAAATACATTTAGCTTTGATGCAGAACCAATTTTCAAAACGATGAGACTGTATAAACAAAATCCATTGTTCTCTAAACAGCTGCACACTTATTCAAAAAAGATAACTACTTTTCATATATCACTATTAAGATTTTTTCACTGTAAAGGCCTAGAATCCTATCTCACATTAAATTGTGATTTGTATTGGTTGCCATAAAACAAATGACATTGTGGGGTTTGCTCATTTATCAAACTAGTGTCCTTTTGGTGCAGATTGTGTATGTTGCTCCTATGAAGGCTTTGGCAGCTGAAATGACAAATTACTTCAGCAAGCGTCTGGAGCCACTAGGTATTGCTGTGAAGGAGCTGACTGGTGATATGCAGTTGTCAAAAAGTGAAATTCTACGAACACAGGTATGTTTGATTTCAAATTAATATGTGCGCATCACACACACATGTGCCATACTTGCAGTTTTTTAAGCCCTTCATTTTCAAATATTGTGCTAGTTGGAATGTTACTTTTGGATTAGTACGTATGCTATTTTTTACCCACCACTCACTCTGGGCAACACTTTCAGATGCATCTGAAACGCATCCTAAAATGATTTACGTCTCATGAAATTGTGAGTTTCTCTCTACATACCTGTAATATACACAAAATCTTTATATCAGATACCTGAATTCACCAGCAGTCTTCCCATTTTTTATAAGCATCATGTAGAAGCAGGTTTCCTACTTCAGATTTATACCTTATAATGTATTTTTTTTTTATCTTCAAAAGATAGGACAAGAGATTGTGGGTACCTCTGCTAGAACATGACTTGTGAGTTGATATTCTGCATTCATGGGAGTCGGCAGTCAGGGCCTCAGGTGGAAAGCTCTAAAAAAAACCCCTGAAAATTAGTACAGTTTTGACATTCCACACTGAATGAAGAGAGTTTTTTGGGGATTTTTTTTGAGATGAAGATTTCTGCTGATGACTAATCTTGGTCAGCTTCCTTTTGACAAAGAGCATTTTTCATTCTTTAAGGATCAGGTATCACTATTGGACACCTACTCCCCCACCCCAGATAAATTCTTGACCCTTGAATTGGCATTTTTAACATCATGAATTATGTTGTACAATATATAGATGTTTCTTTATCAGATATAAAATTGCTCATTTTTTTGTTACCCATAGCAGGAAAAAAGTTTTTTATATATTTTAGAAAATGTCTTCTATTAATGAAGTTACATTTTTCCACAGCCCTAAGATCCTTTGAGTAGCTTTATCACTCAAACTACATGTAATTACCCTTTTTCCTCCTAATTCCTTGAGTCTGAATAAGGTTTGGCTGTATTGATTATCAATATACACACTTGTTAAATGTAATTAATCTTATAGTAATTAACATTGATTCAACTAACTTCTACTTTTTTCTGCTCTTAATTTTGATATGCTTTAAATCGCTATTATTAGATTGGCAATCTCTTTCCCTGTGTTGAAAGTCATTTGTAGGATATGAAGCCAGAAGGGACTATCTAATGCAAGTTATAGGATGCCCCTGAATTAATTCTGATTGAATGAGAGAGCACATTTTTAGGGCAAAAGCATCCAATCTTGATTTAGTTATTCAGTGAGCGAGAATCCACCACACCCTTTCACAAAATGTAAAATGGTTAACTCTCCATGCAGTTAACAAGTCCCACTGTATTTTAGCTTATATTTCTCTACTTTCCAGCTGTTAAATTTTGTTTTATATTTGTCTAATGAATTAGAGAGGTCCTCTCTACAATTAGATTTCTTTTTCTCCTGCAGGTATTTATAGGCCCCTTAACCTTCTCTCACTATGGGAATATTTTCCAATCCTTTAATGTAGCTCTTCTCTGAATCATCTCTACCACATAAACATAGCAAATAACTTAGGGCTACCCATTATAAATATACCTATCCAGTAAATTTCGTTTCTTAATCAAAGTATTGTATGGTAAACAAATACATTGGTGCTTTCATTTCAACCATCTAAACTTGTAATTCATCAGTTTGCTACATTACCATTCTTTACTTCTATTAATAAAGAAATATAGTAGTAACATTATTATTTTGTACATGATTGATATTAGATTGACAGGCCTTTAGTTATCAAAAACATAGCCTGTGGGACAGATTCAGCCCTCCAGCAGCCAGGGCAATATGGGACAGAATAGGGTTTGAACAGTGGCAGTGTTAACTCCTTGACTGCTGGCTCTGGCACTGTTTCTGGCACAACTGCAGATGTGCTTGATCCAGCAGTTGGTTGTCTGGCCAGTGAGAAGCCACACAGTCCAGATAAGGCCTGCCAACTTATTTGAGCTTGATGCCCCTGATAAAGGTACTTCTTTTTATATAACGGTATTTAGATCCTCCCCTTTCCCTTGGTGCATCTGAGACGTATTGAAAATAACCATAAACATTTTGGAGAGTTTCTTGGCCAGCTCTTGTACAGTTCTTGGATGCAAACATCAAACTAACCTCTAGTATTCTTATATTTTAACTGCCTAATTCCAGTAGCTACATATCAACACTCTTCTAAGTTTCTGTTCAAAAAAATAAAGTGTTTCATGGCTCTATGACAAGATTATACCCTTTGGCTTTTTGTCACAATAGATATAATCTTTTCTTGCTATATCATTCTGGCTTTTTACTAAACTGAAAGTTTAATAGGCACTTCTGCTTGTTGTTGACAATTCTGTAACTTTCATTTAGTAACAAGAAGCATTTTAGGACTTCCTTTGTTCCTAATATCCTTAAAAGAAAAACAAAAATCCCCCCCAAAAACCCAATTCCCACCACCCCCAAATCTTTTTGTCTGTAACCCTGTTGGCTATATTTTTCTCTTTGTGTCCTTTTGCTTCCTTGATCAGTTTTATCACGTTTCTTCCAATTCATCTTTGCTGATATCAGCTCCCCCTTTTTCCCAATTTATTTTACATGTACATGCAAATGCTCAGTAATTACAGTTCCTTTCCTTTTCTGAGCAAAGTTGGTTTTAACAAGCATGTCCTTCTATGCTGATATACAGTATTTTGGTTATCCAGTAAAATGTTCTTAAAGATGTTCTAGTTACTACTTACTCTTCTTTTTTTCTGTTTGCACCAGTTGTTTAGGTCATTATCATTTTCAGTATTGTGAAAATTACCCTTTTAAAGAACCCCATTCTGTCTGTACTATAAGCAAATCATAATCATTCTATGTTGGTCACATCTTTTGCATTAAAGTTTTCACTTTAAATACAGTAGTTCATTCAATATTACTTGTAAGCTTCCCGCTCAAGTATGGATTAATACAACTGCTAGTTAGTGTACATACAAATCAGACAGCAAAGTAGGCTCCAGTGAATACAAAACTAGGTACATCATGTAGGGCTTGCACAAGTGCCTGAGAAGTAGTTCATCAGTGTTAGAGGAGCCTCTGAGGCCACCAAACAGAGAGTGAATTAATAAGAGAAGTGCAGAGCCACCTGGCCACAGGCCACAGCTGTCCATATCTGGTGGGTAGGTTACAGTAATTGGTAAGAAGTAGGATATGGATAATATCACCTAAATATGTTTTAGTAATTGGTGAGAAGTAGGATGTGTATGCTGTAAACATGGAAGTTGTTTTATTGGTGTATAAAAAGTGCCTAGGGACCCTTAATATTCTGTGCTAGCCTGAAGTGTATTTGTATTTATGTTCATATCTGTTCAGGATTTTAAATGCCCTGGCTAGCACCATATATCAATTGGTCATAGATGTTAGTGTCTGGGCTGGTTGAGTTTTCATTATTAAGAACTAAAGTCTGTGGTCTCTTCCTTGAAATAACAAGCCCACTAGGGGCAGTGCATCATAGACTGTATCCTGACAGCTCATGCACAGATGATCCAAACTAAGCGAGCCTGGTATGACATAGTGAGATAACAGCACTGAGTCTCCTACACTGTTAATATAGATGTTAGTTATAAGATGCAGCAAAAGCTTGCTTTTTGTTCTCTCTAACTTTGCATTTAATTACTTATGGCAATTATTCAGTTACTGATAACTGGGGTAAATTATGGTATGGACTAGTTAGAAGGGAAGTAGGAATTTATATTATATGTCTGAAGGAATTACCTGGACATTAGATCTCCATAGATTACAATAAAGACAATGGTATCTGCTTGTTTGGTATTGCCTTCAGATATGTAGGAACACCTCCGAGCGGTCGCAAATCTTTCTCTCGTGCGTGGATGAGTTCTACCTGGAACCACTACCAAGGAGGAATACTCTGTTTTGGTCCAGACCTGCAGAGAGCAAACCAGGAAAGCCAAGGCTGCGACGGAACTCCAGGTAGCTACAAATATTAAGGACAATAAAAAGTCCTTTTTAAGATATGTAGGGAGCCGGAGGCTCCCCGGGTGAAGAAGATTCCTTACCATCCATCAAAGCTGATCTCATGAAGGAACACCTGGACACCTTCAAGTCATCTGGCCCTGACAGTTTACACCCCAGGGTAATCAAGGAGCTGGCAAGTGTCATAGCCCAGCCCCTGGTATGGATCTTTGAGAACTCCTGGCACTCAAGTGCCTGAAGACTGGAAGAAGGCCAATGTGGTGCCTGTCTTCAAGAAAGGGAGGAAAGTGGATCCGGCAAACTACAGGCCCATCAGCCTGACCTCTATCCCAGGGAAGGTCTTAGAAAAGATTACCAGAGAGGCCATTCTTAACAGACTGGCCGATGACAACATCCTGAGCCACGGGATTGTTGCAGGTAGGTCTTGCTTGACCAGTCTTATTTCCTTTTATGACCAGGTGACCTATCACCTGGACAAGGGAGACGATATTGATGCTGTATATCTTGACTTTAAAAAAGCCTTCAATCTGGTATCCCATTATCACCTCTTAGCAAAACTGGCCAACTGCAGCCTCGGCTTCACCACGATCCGCTGGCTGTGGAACTGGCTCTGTGGTCAGACCCAGAGGGTAGTGGTTGATGGAAGTCAATCGTTGTGGCATGCTGTGACCACTGGGGTCCGTCAAGGCTCTGTCCTTGGGCCTATGCTATTCAATGTCTTCATTAATGATGTGGGCATTGGAGTTGGAAACAGACTGGCCAAGTTTGCTGACGACAAGGATAGGAGAACAATCCAGGCTGACCTTGAAAGGCTCAGGAAGTGGGCGAACAAGATCCTGATGGTGTTTAACACCGAAAAATGCAAGGTTCTCCACCTTGGGAAGAAAAACCTGCATCATGTTTATAGGCTTGGCAGTGCTATGCTGGCCTGATTGACTTGGTGAGCATTGTGGCTACTTTTAACCTCCAAACACTTCTGTATCTGTGCTATTCTGGTAAACGCTTCCCCTGGTGATGGCTGGTGTTTGCTTTCTTGCATTGGGTGGATGACCTCAACTTCAATTAGGAATTCTTCCTCTTGGATTAT